GAGGGAACGGCCTCAGGCTGGGCCAGGGGAGGCTCAGGCTGGAATTTCCTCATGGAAAGGGTTGGCAGGGGCTGCCCAGGGAGGTTTGGAGTGCCCGTCCCTGGAGGTGGCACCTGGAGGTGGCACTGAGTGCTCAGGGTGGGGATCGGGCACAGCTCGGGCTCGATGATCCCACAGGGATTTTCCAGCCTCAATTCTGAGATCTCAAAATCCCCAAATCCCCAGGAATTTTGCTTTCTGTTCCACCCGGGAGTCCAACCGTGACCCAACACCACCCAACTGTCCCCAAGTGCCACCCCCACAGGTTTTTGGGAAATCACTTCCAGGGATTTAAACTCCAACATTTCCCTGAGCAGCAGTGAAGTTCAATTCCAAAATTCCAATGTTTGAAAATTTCCTGCCCTAATATCTCATTAAACCCTGCCTTGGTTCTCATCCATCCACGAACTCAACCTCGGGATCTGCAAAAAGGGAAAATTCTGAGGGATGCAGGAATTTCTTCATGGGAACCCTCAGAACAAATCCTGACTCCTGAAATTGTTTTGTTTTCAAGCTGGGTTTGTTTTATTGGTTTTTTTTTATTTCTTTTTAAGGCACGAAAAGCTTCAATATTTAACCCCCAAAGGAAAGAAAACCAAATTTCTGAGCAGCTTAAATGACAAATTTTGAGGTGGATCGGGGATTCATTTACCCAACCTTATTAAATATTAGAAAATCCTATAAAATCTGATTTTTACATTGATTTTTTTTTATCCCCACAGCTGTTCCTGGCTCTTATCTGTGCCTGGGCCATCAATGATTAACCCTGGCAGTGCCTGAGGAGCAAAGTCCCTCTTCCCTCTCTCTGTTTTTCCTGCAGCTCATTCCCAGAGCCAGACTCGGGGATAAATCCAGGGAATTTTGTGCCCTGCTCTGAAATTTATCCATTTGTTGAGCTCAGGAAGGGGATGCAGGTGCTGATCCCAAAAATTTCCACTTTATTCAACGTTCTGGGAATGTGGCATCAGCTGCTCCCAGCTTTTTTCCAGTTGGATACACAAACTTCTGTTTGATTTACATCATAATTTTATTTTTTAAAAGCTTGTATTTATTTTTATTCTTATTTTTATTTTTATTTTATTTTTATTTTTACTTTAATTTTTATTTTTATTTTTATTTTTATTTTTATTTTTATTTTTATTTTTATTTTTATTTTTACTTTAATTTTAATTTTCATTTTAATTTTCATTTTTATTTTTATTTTTATTTTGATTTTTATTTTATTTTTATTTTTATTTTTTATTTTTATTTTTATTTCTTTATTTCTTTTTTTATTTATAAAACCCACTAAAATCCACAGCTCAAAGCTGCTTCCACTCCACGAGCTGCAGCTGATTTGGGATGGTTTTTGGGGCGGTTTTTCCCTTTTTTTCCCTGTTTTTTTCCAAGTTCCTGCCTGCCTGGAACGCTGTCTCCCCACATTTGTCACACGGGCGGGCACAGCTGGTGGATTTCTCCCCGCGGGTGAAAATCTGATGGAGAAATCCCGGAGTTCTGGGCTCCTGTCTGCACCAATTAAGGGACTCCCTGCACTGAAAAATTCCTTAATTAACTCCTTAATTAACTGTCAGCTTGAAAAATCTCTGGGAAAAATCAGGGATCTCCCATCCTTTGCATTTCTTTCCCTGCTGGCACAACAAAATCCCTGTTTATCCGCAAAATAATAATTTTCCCTTTTTACCCACAACATCCTCATTATTTTTTTTTAAAAAATAATAATAATTTAAAAATCCTGCATTTCTAGAGCTGATTTTTTTCCATTTTCTCTCTATTTTCCTTCCTCCTGCAGCTCTTGCCCCATTTCCCATCCCAGGAATTGTTTTGGGATGAAGTTGAGTCACCCTGAGGTGAGAAAAAAGGAATTAAAAAACGGGAATTAAAACCTCCCTGGTGTCACCCGCAGGAATTCCTGCACCTCTCCTGCTGTTCCCATGGAAACAGATGTGGAATTGCAGGGATTTTATGGATTTTCAGCACTTTTATTAATTTTTTTCCCCTTTAACAGCGACGCTTCCTGTATTATTCTCAAGCAGGACGGGGTAAAAAAAAAAAAAAAAAATTCTGCTTTTTTGAGGTACCAAAAAAAGTGGGAATCCATCATTCCCAGAGAAATTTTCCTGCTGGATCTGGCTCAGCCATGGGAAGCTCAGAACACCTGGGATTTATGGCTGAGCTGTTTCTCGTTGAAATTCCCCATTTTTCCCCCAATTTATCCCATTTTTTCTTGGTTTTTTTCCTCAGGTGTTCATCGTGGAAGGTGAGGATCCATCCATCCATGAATTTTAATTTCCAGGAAAATGGTTTTATTGGACTATTTTTGTTCTTTTAATCTTAATTAAATACTTATTAAGGCGAAGGAATGTTTGGTTTAATGAGTTTTTAGGGCTGTGAGGGTGAGGATTCTCCCATCCCTGCTCCTCGTTTTATCCCAATCCTATTCTGCAACATTTCGAGGAGAAAAAACGCTTTTAACACCTTTGGAAAGAACCAGGTCAGGGAAGAAAAATCCTGGGATGAGGAGAATTTTGGGAATCTGCTCCAAAGGCTCCCGCTGCTCCCAGTTCCTTGTAGGATGGAGGAGCTGAATTTTGGGAATTGGCTCCAAAGACTCCAACATTCTCTTCCTCCGAGCTCCTTGTGGGATGCAGGAGCGGAAAATTTTGGGAATCAGCTTCAAATCAGCTTCCTGTTCCTTTGGGCTCCTTGTGGGATGCAGCAGAATTTTGGGAAT